CTGTGGCACAAATCCGACAATGAAAAGAAATCCAGCGACGAGGCTAGCCTTTCCGGTAAGTAATCCTGTTTCTCGACGTCTCGAGTTAAGATTCCATGGAAATAAATAAATAAGGGCCCTAATAATAATGAAGGAGTTTGTACGCACGTGACAATGTTTATAAATACACGCAAATACGGACGGGATATCCAACAAAATTGATGATGTCAACTAATCACATGGTTTTAAAAACCAATAGAAATACTAGGATCCTGGCGGGAAGAAGGTAATTGGGTCATATGCAAAAACCGCAAGGGTATTAACCAATAAAAATCCTTCTTCGCACAATATGAAGAATGTGTTGTATACACTTTAATTCCAAGCATAACAGAATATAAGTATTCCTCTGATATAACAAATCACTGTCGTAGAAATAATCAGGTGTCTTCTAAGTCAGCCTTGTTAACTGATCTCTTGTAGATTATCAATTAATCACACGTTATGGGCGCCATTGTCGACGTAACCCAGTCGGCAGTTACTTGTATTATAGGTGGGGTAATATATCGACTGACACAAGACACAACAAATGCAAATATCTGAAATATCCAATATATTTATTAAAGAATATATTTACACAATATAAATATAATTATACAACTATAACATGGAATGGTCAAATATGAAGTGCAATGGAGCATCACACAACATACCCGAACATAGCATATTAAGTTTACGGGTGACAGGTATTAGTAAAACTGAGAGATAGGATAGATAGAAATTAATAGAGAAGATACGGTATAGGAAATCAGGGGTCAAATAACATTAAGCATTTACCTTCGGTACGTGAAACGGTGCGGAATTTTCGTTTACGGTGCTCATCCAGATTCGGAAACGAGAAACACCAGAAGTACGTGTGATTTTGTAAGCGAGTATTTGGAAGATACTACCGTTATATAAGAGGATAAAGAATGTTCCTATAATTGTAAAAATCAGAAATTACTAAAGACAACTGTTCACGAACATGTTTTGTTATTTAGGATTTTTATATGAAATTATTTACTGAAAACTTTGGCGAAAAACACACACGTGAAATTCGAAGCGAGAGGCCTGGTAAATTTTTTTAGCAAACCTCCATATCAGAGGCATCAATCTTAAAGAAAACATGCTTGATTATTAGCGTACATGTATAAAATCATTTCTGGAAATTAAAAATTGTTTCAATCAGTTTGTTGTGCCTGAATCTGTCTACTTTCTGTTTCGCCTACACACCGGTGCAGACACCTAGCAACGGTTCGGAATTTCCGTAAAAAATGAAACGGTGCTGCCACAAATTAGGCAACGGTGCATACATCTTTTTCAAAAAGTATACGGTTCAGACACACGTTTAGTCTATAGCTGTAATATGACATTTAAGAAAAGAAGATATATAAAATGTAAATGTGTCTAATAACAAGAGCTGTCAGAAGGACAGCGCGCTCGACTTTTTTAGTGCTTGCCTATAAAACAAAACTTTGACAGTTAAGGGCACACAAGACTTTAACTAGGAATTTCTAAGTACAAATCAAGAAACATTTTCACAGAGTTATCTTCTCTTGCTTACAGATAGGTCTCATGATGGCACATAAGAACTCCAACTTCCAAAGTAATATCTCAAATGGTTAGGTCAACAAGTGGACAAGAATGAAAATTTTAACTGAGTTTCTAAGTCAAAAAGGGCCATAATTCAAATAAAATCCTTAACAGAATTACCTTCTCCTGCCCATGTTTGGGACCATGATGGTAAACAAGTATTCCAACTTTCAATTTAATATCTCAACCAGTTCAGTCAAAAAGTTGACTGGTACAAAAAAACTTAACCAAGATTCTAAGTCGATAAAAGGCCTTAATTTTTAAAACAAATCCCTGACAGAGTTACCTTCTCTTGCGTACAGATGGGGGTAATGATGTGAAATAGCATTAAAAGTTTCAAAGCAATATCTCAAAGGGTTAAGGCAATAAGTGGATTTTACCCATATTCAATGTATTTTCTAAGTCAAAAAGGGGCATAATTCTGTCAAAAACCTTGACAGAGTTATGTCCTCTTGTCTGTTGATGAAGGTCGTGATGGTAAACAAGTATGGTCAGTTTCAAAGCAATACCTCCAATGGTTTTGAAATAAAGTGAGGTGGTACAAAAAACTTAACCAAGCTCAATACACTTTCTAAGTCAAAAAAGGGCCATAATTCTGTCAAAAACCTTGACAGAGTTATGTACTCTTGTCTGTAGATGGAGGTTATGATGGTGAACAAGTATGGTAAGTTTCAAAGCCATACTTGTAATACTTCTGAAATAAAGTGGGGTGGTACGAAAAACTTAACCAAGGTGTGACGCCAACGCTAACGCCGACGCCGACGCCGGGGCGAGTAGGATAGCTCCCCTTTTCATAGAAAAGTCGAGCTAAAAACCGTAGTAGTAACAGCCCTTAAACATAAAATAACATTCTCTAAATTTGAAACAAATATGTGATGATGAATGACAGCTTTAATTACAGCCGTGATCATAAATTGTATATTGTCTATATATGCAATGCTATTATACAGCTTCATTTATTGTCCAGTTCTATGAAGTAACCTTTCACTCAGCTGATAATTTTTTTATTCTTTTACGGGCTACTATTATTACAGCTTAACCAAGTGTCATGAAAATATATTTTCAATACGAAAAATATCCTCTACATCATTTAATATTTTTCACTAACTGAAGCATACATTTATTAAAATACTTTGTAATAGATCTAAGGTAAATAAACATTGTTTTATTTTTCGGGAAATTTTATCACTGAATATGTATGTAACTCAGCTTTCTTGTTCCTATTTGTTGAAATGGAAAGATTTCGAAAGGCAGTAAGCTACATAACTTCTTATCGGAGAAAATAAAGTAAAAAAGTTAACAAACTACTATAACTTTTGGTCATTTTATTATTTTCTCGTCGAGACGAGTATCATAATATGTAAACCCTATTACAAGTATAATAATTATTGTTTTTTTTTTCTGTTTTAGTTTCACTGTCGGAGAAGAAAACCTGTGTTACTATTGTAAGTTCTCCAGTATGGATCTTCAAGAGTGTATCAAATTATCAATCACTTAGTTGTTCAGCATGGTCATCTGCAACTTAAATTAAGAACGAGAGCATTCAACGCGTCAACGGGTCAAATTGGTCTTTTATCAAACGATTTTGGAGTTATACCAAATTTACAGCTGGAAACTGGACAATACTTCAAAGTAGATGCAACGACATTTTCACTGGAAAGTCTAATGCAATAATGAAAAATATTGATAGTTTTTACAAGAATACTTTTCACTCAATCTTTCACTAATTGAGTTTGAAGCGAGCAAATAGCTAGTTCCATCTTATGCGAAAAAAGCATAAAACTTAAACACCTTTAAAAACATTTCATACTAGTTCTTACGTTGAACTCGTACTCTCGAGCAAAGAAGAACTTCGTATAATTATGAGAAAGTTAAATACAAAATTTGAAGAAACAAAAACTCTTCTACCAGTGTCATAGGGAGCAAAATGAAAAAAGCGGGACATTTACTAAAATCCGTGGATGAACTTTCATTAGAATGGGTTAGTAATCAAGGAAATTTCCATATGATAATATTGCATTCCCAACTATCTTTATGGATGTCTGTCGTTTTTCATAATATGGCTTGCGATGATACGTCCGAAATGACTTATAGTGATGCAGTCAAACTGTTTTAGCGTATTGGATTCAGACTTTTTCATGGAAAGTGGTTGAAATTATTATTAAATGAATATTTCTTGTTAATATTTCAGATAAATTATGTCTTCATGGCATGCATATACACCATGATCAAAAATGATAAATAAATGATATGTGAAAACAATTGTTTATTAATTTTAATATTATACAATCATTTGAGATCATTTGTAAAATAAAAGGAAATCTCTATAAATCGGCAGCAAATCACAGTATGAATCACATAACATGTAAATGATAGTAAAACAACAATATCAACAATATCAAAGCAACAGTATCGATAGTTATAAAAATGAGTATAAGTACATGTATATCAGAACTTCCTTACACACTGCTTGGACCTTACTAATATCGGAATGTATGACTGTTCAAAAGTATAAACATATTTCCTTAATTTTAACACTTACAAAATATATAAACGAGTCCTTACTAAAAAAAAGGTATGTATAAAACAGTCGCAGGTTAATTAAGAAACAGTGGTGTGTGAAACCGACATGAACAAAAAAATGTACCGTTTTTGACCACTTAATTTGATCACGTTAAAACAGTTTACATTAAATTTAGTTCTGTCAAATATTGATTGGAGAGAAGCTCGTTAAAATATCAGGTTTTATTAAAATAGATTATTCTTTATTTAAAACTATAGCTATCCGTAAGAAAACGCGCTCGACTACTGTAAGTTCTTGTCTGAAAGTGAGGATGATAGTCAATAATAAGTATATAAAGTTTCAAAACAATACCTTAAGGAAATATTAAAAGTGAGTGGGTACGGAAAACTTAACCGAAATTTCTTAGTTGAAAAGAGGGCAAAATCCATGAAAAAATTATATCGTCTTGACTGGAAGTTGAAATAATGGACACTTACAAGTAATGTATAAGTTCCCCGTGTAACGAAATAAGTATAGGTAAAATGGGTACGAAAAAGGGCCGGTATATTTGTGTCAAATCATGCATTTGACCATTAATGATGATGATGAGTTATGTCATCATTGACTAGAGTGGAATTGATAGTCACTTACAAGTATCTTTATAGTTTTAGCAATATCCTCTGCTCGATATACACGATTTAATAGCTTTTGAAGAGGTTGCTGTTGAGTCATATATGAACAATTATAACTGAAGAATTGTGTATGCAGCGGACAGGCCCGAGCGAAGCCGAGGCTTGATTAATTCGAGTAGATAATCTGTGTTTGTGTGAGCATAAGCTGGCAAGGTGGATACAACACGTGACAAAAGATCAACAAGTTGTTAGTCTTGTCATGACTTATAAAAAGGAAACTTAAAAATTTGAAAGTACGGAAAACATTTTGATACAGTATGAACTTGTATCATATCACCACGTGAAAATTTACTTATGACTCTTTGAAGATGTCTACATAGACTTGCTCTCCAGACATATTTCTTTGAACAAATAGTGTAACTGAACCTTTTTGCTTTTTCGTGCACACCTTTAATGTGGTCTACAAGTTCATCTTTCCTTAAAAAGTCTCGCTTACATATGGTGCATGTAAATTCTTTCTTTTCAGTGTTTCCATGGCTTATCATATGTCTGTTTAGCGCTGATTTCCTAGTAAAGGTTTCATTGCATTTTCCACATTCAAGTTTCTTCTTATCATGATGTGCTCTCTGGTGGACTTCAAGAGACGATCGCTCAACATAGACTCTACCACAGCATTTATAAGGCTGGTTATCTATGGAATAAAATATATATAAACAATTAAACAAAGTTGAGAAGAAAATAAGTACATTTACATGTACACGTTTTTAGGAAAGACAGTCACTCTGCTTGTATTTCCTTTTCAACATAATAAGAAAAAGATTCTACAGTTTTCTAAGTTTAATATTACTGTTCTGTTAAAAATGTATACATATACTTATTTAAGAGAGTTTTCCTTTTTGGTTACAGTGTGATTTCACATAGCCAATAAAATAGATTTATACGCTTTTGAACGTTTTTTCATAAAGTAAAGATAATCCGATTTTAAATAGAATAAATAAAACAAAAGTTGTAAAACAAAATAAAACCTGAGTGTTTTAGTACTCGGTGTTTACGTAAACCACTCTTCGTCCTGTATTTTGTTCCACAGTCGCAACACAGACACTCTTCAATAAATGAGCTGACCAGTGCTTGGAAGCTGTAAAATATAATAATAAGAAATAAATTATGTGAAGCGATATGCAACTTCAAATTTCTGGTTTCATTTAGCAAATATATTTTTATGTCTGAACCGTATACTTTTTTAAAAAGATGTATGCGCCGTTGCCTAATTTGTGGCAGCACCGTTTCATTTTTTACGGAAATTCCGAACCGTTGCTAGGTGTCTGCACCGGTGTGTAGGCGAAACAGAAAGTAGACAGATTCAGGCACAACAAACTGATTGAAACAATTTTTAATTTCCAGAAATGATTTAATACATGTACGCTAATAATCAAGCATGTTTTCTTTAAGATTGATGCCTCTGATATGAAGGTTTGCTAAAAAATTTACCAGGCCTCTCGGTTCGAATTTCACGTGTGTGTTTTTCGCAAAAGTTTTCAGTAAATAATTCATATAAATCCTATATAACAAACATGGTGAACAGGTTGGTCTTATAGTGAATTTATTTTTACATTATATGCAACTATTCTTTTATCCTCTAAGTAACGTATATCTCCAAATACATCGGTTACAAAATGACACGTACCATCTGGTTGTTTCTCGGTCCGACATCTTGGATGGAAGCACCGTAACACGGAAAATCCGCACCGTTTCACGTACCCGACAGTGATTTAGATACAGTTAATATATTTTATTTGAAACGATTAACAAAATATAAGGCAGTGTACATTGTACATAAATTCTTATCCTACGACAAAGGCATTCGATTTTGTGCCGAATACTGTGACATTATAACAACAGATACTTTGGTCACACATGAGGTGTAATTTTATTTTTATGAATGTAAACACAGAGGGTTTTAAAGCAATTCAACAAAAGAGTATATTGATCTCCCGATAAATCAATTAACAATAGCTTTTTATATATCACCAATGTCAAGTAGCTTTTATATCTTTGACTCGCAAGAACATGATGTTAATGAATTTCCTCATACCTAAAATTCAGGTAATAGTCTTCTATTATTGGGAGATTCGAGGACGATTAGTTGTCGGACAACGCCAACCTGAATGAAAGCCGATATTCTAAATTCTAATCCACACCATAACCTGTGCTGAGGCAAAAAATAACCTTTTGACAAGTCATGCTTTCATTCAAGCACTTCCGTTGCTCAACATCCCATCGACCTAAATATTACATAAAACTGTATGCAAGTTAACAAAATTTATTCAACAAATATACAAGCAATAGCAGATTTCCTATTATCTTCTGCCTGGATGTATTTGGGCATGGTTCCCGCGCTCATCATGTTAGCGCTCATCATGTTAGCGCTCATCATGTTAACCCCACTAGGTTAACCAGTCACCAAACAAATAGTCGTTAGGGGCGACCTTGAAGCAATCAGTTAACTGTCCAAAAAGCTATACACAACAATACGCCCGAATTGGGGCTTAAACTACGCCTGAACTGAGGCTGAAAATACGCCTGAAATGGGGCTTTAAAGTGAATGTCTTCGATCAAAGATATCATAAAAGCTGAGATCCATGCTAGCACAGCCCCGGATGATGTCGGCAGAGTCCCGGATGATCCCGGCAGAGCCCCGGTACGGTCAGATAGAGTGCCGACAATCACCGGTAGAGCTCCGGCAGAGCCCTTGATCATCCCGGACGTTGCCGACAGAGTTACGGACGTACCCCGGTCGTTCCTGGATCACCCGACCGACCACCGGGACTCTAGCGGGATGCTTGTGAGATTGTTAAAAAAGTTTTAAAAATGTATTTGAAAATAAGTTGATTGTTGGATACAGTCTATCTCCCTTACTATTAAAAGGGAAAAAAATAAGTTAAACCGAGGTGCATTGGTGCTTTACACCGGGCACTTAAAAGAACCAGGGTCGCCTCTGGAACGGGGCGTCTTCTGTATCATGCACTATCCCCCGAAAAATAATATACTAACAAATAATATACTAACGGATATATACAAATCTACCACTACACATGCAAGTTAAGATAGTGCGATACTGTATAAACAAAAATCCGGCAATGAGATACTTGGCGGGGATTCATTTTATTTACACTGTCTCGTTTATAGGAACATGGTGGGGCTAAGAGCGAGGTTTGGTGCACCATTTACCGGTTTAAACTCCCCAGCAGTCATTATTATGCTGCTGACCGTTCCAAGGCGGCGCCCCTCTGTGTTCCTCAGATGTATGTCTATGTTGTTTAATACTGTTTTGGTGACACTTTTGCTTGTGTCCCTTGTTGTTTTCTCGTCTACGGTAAGTATCTTTACCATTGCCTCTAGTTTTTATTTCTTTGATTAACAACGCCCCCCCCCCCCCTTCACCCAGTCTCCTGTCCCCTTCCCCTTTGTGGGCCTATTATTCTTTTCTTTCAATTCCTAATCAGTTAAAAATTATTTATCATTTATTGATTAACCTGTCCGTCCTCTGTCTTTGCCCTGTCCTGTTTTTGTTTTGGGTCCGCCTGGGCTCCTTGCCGCTGGTTCTTGTGGCTGGGTCATATGGGGGTTGCGTTCATTGAACGCTGCCTTTCCTTGTTGATCTTGTTTATCATATTTTTTAGTAGTGTTGTGCAGTTATGTGACATTTACCTACCTTGAATTTACATTTCACCTGATAAGATGCAGGATGTGCCAAATGTTGTAAGCGTGAGACGACTTTTGCTGAATTTTGGTCGGTTCAGTGGCCTAATATTAGAAATCCGCAATATTATAAGAGAATCTAGATGGGCCAATGCTTGGTTGCACCTTCGGTAATGTACTGATGCCCTTTGTTGGTACGAGATTGCAGATATATGGTACAGAAGACCGTAAGAAATGGCATCAGTACATTACCGAAGCTGCAACTAAGACATAACCAAGTGTAAACCAGTTAATATATGTAAAAACAGTTTAAATTGACAAATTGTGATAATTTCAAAATAACGTTTGTCGAATGGAGAAGAAATGTTAAAAGTTTTTGTCAACAGATTAAACTAAATATTACACAGTATTCGAATAGTAACATTATAATTGCTATATGATGGTGTCATTTAAACATTTTTATTATATGATCTAAAAATAGCTGCAATCTCATTGGTCCAAACTGTAGTCAACATAACTTTTTATAAAATCATATTCACTGGGTGTAGTATCATATTAACTGGCTGAATTGGATTTTCCAAGTCTAAATATAGATTGAGACTCGTATCCAATGACCATACACCGTAGACTGTTAATTACGTGTGTTAATTAAAAAGTAATTGTTGCGTTTTGTTCTTTATGGCATATTTCTCGATTGAAATTTCATTACTTTACTGTTATACTTAAAGGCTAAACCGCATCGATGAGTATAAACTTGAATTACTTTTGTATGCGCAGCGTTCGCGTAGTCGTTGCACGCCTAACACGTGCGTTTTTTTTCCCGCGCTTCAACGAGGCAAAATTTGTACATGTATATAAGGATGTACTTTTTCGTGATATTTTTTTAATTCTTAGCCTATTCATATAATAAAACAATTATTGACTAGTGAGCCATTGAATATGATGTGATATTCACCGGCAGAAAGTCATATTGACCTCGGCTATCGCCTCGGTCAATATGTCATCTGCGGGTTAATATCACATCATATTCAATGGCTCACTAGTCAATAATTGTATAATATTATAATACCTCAATATATCCTTCAATGTAAAACTCCCATAGGGCTACAATGTGTTCTGATCGAATATCACCCTCCTAGAATATATTCCCCGGGGAATATTTCTTATATCACATTGGAGCACAAAACTCTTACATAACTCATTCATAAAGCGATAATGCCTTAGTACCCAGTTAGCATAATATCATTTATTTCCTAGTCTGTTTGTCTGTCTATTGTTTTTATCTATATACATTATACTATTTTTGTGTATATCGAACATTTACAGATCAAAATCGCTATAATTGTGAAGTGATGATCTGTATTTTCTATCAGGCAAAGACTGCTGACCTAATGGTTTTTTTCGGTATAATAAAACAAATAACACATGGCTGTCGGGGTGATAGAGGATATTGCCAACCCTTGAACTTGCATATTACCCTTGGCTGCGCCTCGGTGTAATATACAACTTCTCGTGTTGACAATATCCTCTATCACCCCGACAGCAATATGTTAATTATATATTATTATACCTCAATATATCCTTCAATGTAAAACTCCCATAGGCCTACAATGTGTTCTGATTGAATATCACCCTCCTAGAATATATTCCCCGGGGAATATTTCTTATATCACCCTGGGGCACATAACTCTTACATAACTCTGTATTCATAATAGCGATAATGCTTTAGTAACCAGTTAACATAATGCAAAAATATACATACTAATACAATTTAAATTGTTTATAAAAAAATCTTTATTTAGCAAAGAATCCCACGTTGAACGCGAAAAGTTCGTGCGAAACCGTTACAAGCTTGTACATGTTCACGTGTATAAAAATTACTACATATGAAAATTTTATAGATAGATGATTAAAAATAATTGTAATTTTGCATCCATTAATAATAATTATAATAATTTGATTTTGTTGTTGTTATTTATTTTCAAATGAAGAAATAACGATATGTCTGTCTGTCTGTTTGTCTTGTTTTTATCAATATATTTTTGTGTTTACAGATCAAAATCGCTGTAATTTTGAAGTGTTGATCTGTATTTTCACTTATGAATGTTTTGGAACCTAAGGTTTTTTTCGGTATAATAAAATAAATAACATATATAGCTGTCGGGGTGATAGAGGATATTGCCAACCCTTGAACTGGCATATTACACTCGGCTGCGCCTCGGGGTATATACAACTTCTCGAGTTGACAATATCCTCTATCACCCCGACAGCAATATGTTATTTATATATTATTATACCTCAATATATCCTTCAATGTAAAACTCCCATAGGCCTACAATGTGTTCTGATCGAATATCACCCTCCTAGAATATATTTCCCGGGGAATATTTCTTATATCACCCTGGGGTACATAACTCTGTATTGATAAAAACGATAATGCATAATGCAAAATGACAGCCATGTGTTATTTATATAATATTGTTAAGTTAATATTTGACATATAAGTAATTTTTAAATGTACATGTTTGTACCCAACCAGCACAGCAAGAAAACATACTATTACGTCAAGTGTCTATTACGGTGGCACAGATGTGACACATGGGTGTCTTTATTTATCTTGTTCACACGAGATATTATCTTGTTCCCACAAGATATTATCTTGTTCCCACGAGATATTATCTTGTTCCCACGAAATAATTATCTTGTTCCCACGAGATAATATCTTGTTCCCACGAAATAATTATCTTGTTCCCACGACATAATTATAGCCAATCAGAAGCTGTAAAATGTTAATATAGCAGTTACTTCCCCTTATTTAGTTGAACATTTACTTGATTATATATACATTATATTCATGTATAACCATGTAGGTTGATCTTGAAAGTGCCACACTGTAGGGACATACAAAACCTTAACTACCAATTACTGGTGTTTATAATAGCGCATACCCTCATCTGGTGACGCATTTGCGTGCAAACTGATCTGGGTCGACACTGGAGGGATACACATGTAAGTAGCCTTTCAAAACTCTGTATTTATAAGGCGGTGGCCCCGCAGTGGCGTT